AGACTGGATATCCTCCGAACAGAAAAGGAAATTTCCTCGATGCGTCCCGGCCTTCGATGCCCCATATGCGCAACGCATATGCATCCACTACCAGTGAGAACCATGACAGCAGTTTCCAGATGGCAGTAATGCGGGCAATAGGGCCGTCTGCATCAGGGGTAGGCCTGGCAGCAGCGGCCCACCTCGCTAACCCCCCGGCACCTCGCAGCACCAGCAGCCAAGCCCTTCCTTCACAGCCCAACAAACAATGCCAGTAGCGGCAGCAAACCCACTACCCGACCCACATGGAGCAACACGAATATCTTCCCCAGGGGAAACCCAGCGTGCTGGCTGGCTGGACTCCACGGCAGGCAAAGATGGTGGGAAAGGCTCGGTGAGGGGCGAAGGGGAGACAGCCCAACAGTGGGCCCACTTCGTCACAGCATCAATGAGGGCAATATGCCCGTCTGCATCAGGCCCCGGCGCAGCAACGCGATTACCTTCCTTAAGAATCGGCTTTGTATGCCTCAGGAAAAGATGGGCAAAAGCAATTTAAATCCGAGAAATGCCGGCAGAGCTAAGGCTGGCCATCCAGGGAATATAGGTAGCAACATAACCCGAACTAACGGTGAGGTGGAGGGGGGAGCTATGGAGGCAGCCACCCGGCCCACCAGCAGGACAGCCTGAGCCCCAGGCCCGGTTGTCAGCAGCTTTCCGATATGGGATCCGTCAGGATTGAGGATTACCCTCCTGCTGTTTAAGTACCTGCAGAGGCTGTCCAAGCGTGCAACCCAGAAGCCAAGCCCGCACTCGCAGAGAGGGCTCCAGGGATGGCACACGGGGGCATCCCCTTCGTGTTGCCACACCCAGTGTGTGTAAGACATGATGGTGAAAGCACCATTCGGAATGTACGTGCGGCGGCCAGAGGGCTATGGGCAGAGGTGTGGTCGGCTCGGTGCGATGTGTCTCCAGTCGGACCGCCGCACTGATGCTCACGACCTGTGCCAGCAGTGCCAGCTGGAGAACAAGCTATGAACAGCAGCACCGAACGCTACACACACATACACACAAAGAAACAAACAAACAAACAAACAAACAAACAAACAAACAAACAAACAAACACCGCTTGGCGAAGTTAGCAAGGGTATTAATGAGCGTTTCAGTAAAGATCCGTCGCGGCTGTACGACAGGGAATGAGAAGGCCCGCGTCCTCAGGGTAGCAGTGTTAACAAGGCTGGTTGCGTTGTTCTGTTTGTGTAATCTTCTGTGTACAACAACATGCCGTTCGCCTTGTCGTCCGCCCGGAGGCCGACCCAATTGGTGGTGCATTGGTTTCGTCCAACTCGTCACCGTGTGTCTGTCCTGTCACTTGCGGTCGGACTCCGATCACACAGTCATGGTGCTTCTCCTCCGGCTCCCCCCTTTTCCCTGCCTCGCCCCCTCTCTGTCTCTCCCCCCCTGTGTCATCAAGTTGCCCGGTTGCCGACTTCCGACTCTTGGGGCCACTCTGAGGCAGCCTTGCGGTATAACACTCGAACGGCAAGACAGTTAAACGTTGCCACCTTCTCGAATTATCCGTCCTCCAGCGTCCAGCAGAAACTCTAGTGTGTAAAATACGTATGTTTGTCCAGCAACCGATGTTATCGTTACTCTGGCGTTTTCACACGTCGCTTTGTGTGTTGATTCCCGCTGCTGGGCAGTGCGCGCCGGATTTGACTGCACAGAATGAATCAGATGTGGTGTAGTACACTGCTGCCGCTACTGCTGCTGCAACAGCCTTCTGCTGCACCCTGGCTGCGACGCTGGGAGGGGACAGCCGCACCGGCAGGCACGTCGGCACATGAGTTGTCATCTGCGAGCATAGCGGCCACTAAGTTGCTCTGCTTGCCACATGACATTCGTTGAGAAGTGGCTGTGTCTGATGCCTGAGGGGAGCCGGCTCCGGAACCAGAATCTGCATGATTGCCACAGACGGCTTAGCACCCTGCAGTTGAACGAGCCTAACAACATTTAAAACATAAAACAGAATCTCCTCCTTTTTTCAGCTTTAAGCGGCAGCTAGAACTTCAAGAGTGCGTTAGTCCTGATTTTTGAAGGCTGTGCACTGAATGAGGGAATAACTCCCAGAAGGGTTGAAGAAACCCCCCAGGCTGCGACCCAATCGAACGTCTCCCTGCCGTACAGGCGCATCTGTCGGCCCTCGTGCGGCTCGTCCAACAGTCCATTACATCAAAAAGATGTTTTCCACGAAATTTACAGAAAGCGGAGATTAAGTATTTACAATAAACCAATAATATAGAACTTCCCTGGGATAGCAGCGTCGTGTAAGCTGCAGCTTTTTTGTAGCCGGACGTGAGGGGTACGAAAGGTACGATGAGCTCTCAGCCAACCTACTATACCCACAGCCATTGCATCCCCTTCACCTTCTCCTATGGGCCCCGCGCACACACCTGCACCCACCGTGGATTTCGAAGTACTGGACACATCCAACCACTCACCCGAACATTAAGCAATTTAAGCAATATACCCCTCTCTTTCTCTCTCTCTCTCTCATATCACCTCACCACCAGCGTCTCCAGCCACCTACCTGCCTACCTACCTACCTACCTGCATATGCTATCCCACCATCACCACATAAGAGTGAGCCTTCGTGAGCCTTCTCGTGAATCCCATCGATTTGGATCCAAGACTTTGAATTCATTAGTCCGACAATCCCAACGAGATCCATTTGCTCCTTAAACGAAAACCTTCTAAAACAAACAGAAGCTTCTTAGATATAGCTATAGCTTTTAGGATATAAAGGCTCCTCATGACAATAATCGGATTTACGGCTCCCCGACGGAGCCCGAAAAGGAAAAACAGGATGGTAAAAGGAAAAAAATGGTCAAGACGACAACAACATCCGCCTGCCGACCTCTCGGGGTGATTGAGAGGTGATGAAATGGGAGGTGGCCCCCCATCTTGTGGACGGTGTAGGACGTGATAAAATCAACTCGCGAGCTGACCAGGAACTAAGTTGACGCGCCGTTGATCCGCTAGATTTGGTTGGATGCTGGTGGTGAGTTGCCAAACTCAAAGAGTACACTCTGAAGTCGGATGGGGTGAATGGCTTAGGGTGCCCCTCTAGCAGGGGAGAGCAGGGAACTGCCTCGGGAAGGAGGCCACTGGTGAAGCTTAACCACCCTGTAACAACATCAACATCAACATCCCTAGCCCTGCAGCAGCGTGATGAGCCCCACCCTCCCTCCCACCTCAGCAACCGCGTGAAAACAACCCGCCCTACATATCCGCATATCCCCGCGTCAAATTTATCAATCACAGAAAAAGAAGTACCGACTGGTGCTAACTACACGCACACAAACAGCAATCGCAGTTGCATCGGCATCAGCAGTAGCTGCTGTAGCATCAACAAAAACATTAGCTCAGCAAAACACTAGTGTACATCCTTACTTACATACATACGCACATACGTAGCATTACGGGGCATTCGCAACATCAACAGGCTATCGTTGTGTATCGCCAACTTCAAGCACGCGACAGTACAGTACAAACACATGTAATTCAACTCGCGACAGCTTTCTGGTGTATAGCCACAATAATGAGACTCGTACAGAAATAAGAACCCACAGGCCGGTCTGTGCTGACGTCTGGTTCGGCCAGCTAGGACGTCCAGTGCCTGAGCAGATAAAGCCAGCAGCAGGACCCAGCTGCCCGGACACGATTAAAAAAACACAACCGGTGACGCGTGCTCTACCCTCGTGTTTTCCCCCCCGTTTCCCCTCCATTCCCGTCACTCTCCCTTCTCGCCCTCTTTCCCCCATCCGTGTTTTTCTCTTGTCACATCGCTGCACCGCCACACTGCACTGTACTACCTCTTCAGCCCGGCCTGCCTCACCCTTCACCACGAATCCTTCAGAAGTACAACATCAGAAATGGAAGAAGTACGACATCTCCGTACGCTACGGGCCCCTAAGTTACACACACACACATGCGCACACGCATACATGTACATATGGTGACATGATAATGATGTCCCTTGTAAAGCCGTACAGTGCCCAGATAATAAAAACGCCCTTGAGGAAATTGCGGCCCCCCGTGCTCCTCCCCCTTCTCGTAAAGGCGGCCTAGGTGTCAAAAGAGAAAGAAACGACGCGCGTTGGAAATGTGAGAGTTGCCACGCTACGATACCTGCTTCCGTACAATCCGTACATGGTATGAAAACAGGGTTGTACGGCAGTTGTTTTTTTATCACGTATCGTACACATGCACAAAAATGAAGACCGAACGGTGCCGCAATCCTCCTTATCATCATCGTCATTCAGCTGATCATCATCATCATCATCATTTTTGGACTACAAAGCCGCCCTAAAGATCTTCACAATCATCAACATCAACATCACGATTGAAAGAGATGTGACAAATTTATGTGTGTGGTTGACAATATTATGTCAAAATGTAGCCCCATAGGGTTATCCGACAAGATCTGATGATAGGGTGATCTCCCCCACCCCACCCCACCCCCACCAAGTGCATCTAAGGGTGACATTTGCCGCCCCTGGCCCTACTAGCGCTAAGAACCCCTTAATGTACGGCAATGTACGGCAATACCTGTCATATCGCTGCACAGACACACACGCGAGGCCATACAGGAGCCCCCTCTCACACTCCGTCTTTGGCATGATTGGCGACACACCATATGGCCTCGCGCTTCCCCACACACAAATATACAAATAAGCAAATACACAAATACACACACACACACTCCAATGATGATTGTGCGGAGCACCATCACATGCACCTCCACGTCAGCTCAGTTCAAAGACAACTTAATAACGGGACCACATTCAAACTCCCCCACCCTCCCCCACACGCCTCAATCAGTCCTCGGACCGCCTCCCACCTTACCCCCCACATACCATCCTTCCACATCCATCCATACACATCCCCCCTCCATACACATCCCCCCTCCCCCCCCCGCGCTCCGAAACCACACTCGCCCCAACCCCCGCCCGTCTCGTGCATTAGTAGGTATCACGTACCTCATCAGCCGAAGCCATGTTATGCCGGTCTTTCGTCAGCCGTACACGACTGCCGTACGCCGTACCTGTCACCTCAAATGCCTCGCCCTCCTTCGTGCCGTACACCCGCTCAATCGTCTCCACGCGAGACAAAAACACAACCACCACACTGACGTTGTCCGCGGAACCCCTCATGAGCGCCTCCGAAACCAGACGCTTGGCCGCCAAAGTCGGGTCTTTGACTGTGTCGTACACCAAACCGACTGCCTCCTGCGCCGAAACCACGTCCCACAGGCCATCCGTGCCGACTATGACGAAATGGTCGTCGGGCTGTAGCTCCAGGGAGGTGATTTCGGGCAGTGCGGTGACGCCAGCGGCGGCGGTGGTGGCGGCGGCCCCTCCCTTGACGTCGTAATCGCCAATGCACCGGGTTACCTGCATAGAAACCACAGTGTGGGTGTGCCGTATATGTAAGTAAATAATGTGTATGTAAGTATGTCAAGAAGTAGCTATGTATCTAAGTATGTCGGTAGTGAAGTATGTAGTAACTCATGTAAGTATTTAAGTATGTATGTATGTGAGGGGGAGGGGAAGGGGGGAGGGGTTGGGCGGACGCGTCGTCATACGTATCAGCCAAAGAGCCCACACTGGCCGGGACCGGCTGGCTGGGCAGCTGACGCGGGGAGAGCTCTCCGGGCGCGGGGGGGGGGACCCCACCCCCGGGGGTGGGGGGAAGGGGGAAGACGAACCACTGCCGAATGGAGCAGATAGGAGAGGGGGGGGGAAAGAGGGTGGCGCCTGGCCCCCCCCAACGACGTCAGCAGCTGAAGGGCTGAGGGCGGGGTGGGCCCCCGGGGAAACGAGTGCGAGCGGCAAATCTGCCGTACAGCCGCTCCCTTTCGACAGTCGTGCTTGACAGGTCGTACAAAATAGGATTTTTTAGAATGGTGGGATCTAAGATCCCGCCCACCTTTTCCCCTCGCACCCCACCCCGGGAAAGACCCACCTGAAGTCCGGACGCCCCGATTCGCCAACTGCCGTGCTGCCACGTCACTGCCGTACCCGCCACCGCCAACCGCCGCCGTTCGTCCTCCAACAGCCCCGTGTGATCGCGACTCGCCGCCATCGCCCGCCGACCCCGACAAACCACCGCACGACAGTCCCCCGCGTTGGCAACCACCAACCGTCCCCCGGGGGCTAATAAAACCGCTAATGCCGTAGTGCCGGGATAGCGGCAGACGCCGGTGGCGGCGGTGCCGGCGGCGGACGAGGACGAGGAGGATCCGCCGGCGGGGCGCTGCAACAGCCGCTGCTGCTGCTGCCGCTGCCAGTGCACATGGTACTCTGGGACAGCGAAGACCGGCGGTCGGGGGCCCGGGTTCCGAGGGTTCGTGTGTGTATGTGTGTGGGGGGAAAGGGGGGAGATATGAAACCCTATGTAACAAAACCCTAAAACCCTAAAAAGGTGTTCGATCGCCAAAACCCTAACTCACCCGCCTCGAGCCGCAGAAACGTATCCCGCAGCGCCGCCGCCGGCGACACACACTGAAGCGCCGCTGACCAAAACAGCTCCGCCAGCCGTGTACGACAAAACTCCGCCGCGTCGGCGCCGCGGTGGCCGTCGAACAACGCCACCAGAGGCAGCATCGTCGCAGGCACCGCCGCCGTCGGCCTGTTGTACCCGCCGCCAGCGGCGGCGGCGGCGGGTACGGGCACGTGGGGCAGGAGCACGCAGCGATCCTCCATCGCATCTCTGGGCCCTATGGCCTCAAACATACCGGCGTTGAAAATGCGCCCGACGGCGGCGGCGGTGGCAGCAGCCTCAGCCAGCGCCACGGCTTCCGCCTGCAACGCCGCCGCCAGGCAGGTGCTGCCGTTAAGCCCGTTGGCGTGACCGTTAGCACCGTTGGCATAGTCGTTAATGGCAACGGCATCGTCGGACTCAGCTGAACAGAGAACAAACGGCGGCAGCACCACTTGCTGTTGCTGCTGCTGTTGTTGTTGCAAATATGGTACGGCAGCGACGGTAGCGGATGCGTGTACGGCGATGACGCTATTCTTGTTAATCTGGTTGTTATCCCCGCACGATGTGCCCCTGGCGGTTTCGGAGCTGCGGCAACCGCCATCATCAACCGCTCTCACGTCGATGGTTTCGGTCCCTCCGACTGCCGTAGCCGTAATCATCACCTGCCGTACACAAAGCACACGACCACCATTGGAACAGGTAACTTATACAAAACTTATACAGCACCAATATCTGCTGGTCTGTATGACATTTACCCCCCCCCGATCTTGACCAAGATCTTCACCGCGTTATGTGCGCCCACATCACATCTTCACTAGCGGAGTACCCAACCCACGGACCGCTAAGAATTCTCTAGTTGGGACACACGAAGTCCTTGTTTGGGCCGCAGTCGTACTTCGCATCAGCCGACTCGAGCCGGGTGGTGATGGGCGGCTCACCTAGCCAGTGGTCCGCATCACCACCATCATGATGACGGTTATCGCCACTACTACTCTCTCGGGACGCGTCTCTCTCTTCCCCCCCCCCCTTGTCACCCCTCACCCCCGTTGAAACAATCCACCGCTGTATCCACCGCTGGCGGCTACTCCTTTCCTGGACGACTACAACTACTTAGGTCTTCGGTAAAGCCCTCTGCTGCATACCGTGACTTCCTTCTTTAACATGTATGTATGTATGTATGTATGTATGTATGTATGTATGTATGTATGTATGTATGTATGTATGTATGTATGTATGTATGTATGTATGTATGTATGTATGTATGTATGTATGTATGTATGTATGTATGTATGTATATGTATGTGTATATGTATGTATGTATGTATGTATGTATGTATATGTATGTGTATATGTATGTGTATATGTATGTGTATATGTATGTATGTACTTTCATGGCGGCGAGCAGTATATGAACACACACGCGCACACACACGCGCACACCTGGTTCGGGGGCCAGTGCGGGTGACCTCCCTGCACCTTCACGTCGGCCCTCTTAGCAGCAGCAGCAGTGGCAGCAGTAGCAGCAGCAGCAGCAGGGGATTGGGACAGCGATATCAGCCGCTGTTGTTGTTGTTGTTGTTCCCACACAAGCACCTCCTCGGACATGAGCTCCAACGCCCTAAGAATCTGAAGCAGTGAGGGGGAAGGGCGAAGGCGGGAAAAGACGAACCACGAACGAGTGAAGTTGGTGAAGGGTGGGAGGGTGAAGGGGAGAAGCGGGTGAAAGGGAGGGAGAAGGGGCAAGGCAAGGGGTGAGCACGTCTGCAGGGCGGCGGGTGCGGGATGGTCCCGCTGACGGCGGCCCCACCCTCCCTGTGCGCGGAGGCGGCAGTCACTCTGAGAGATATCCGTCGGCCAGTCAGGAGCCGGAACTGGAATCCAGAACCGGGGGCTGTCCTGCATCACTTCTTGATGCCGCCGCCGCCGCCGCAGCAGCAGCAGGAGCAGCCTGTCGGCCTGGAGGTGCATTCGGCCATTCGTCTGTAAGAGAGGGAGAGAGAAAGAGAGAGACCTCCCCTCCCTTCCCCCAAGGTTGCGGTGAAACCCTAAAACCCCCTCGCTGATAAACCCCCTTCAACCTCGCACCCACCATAACCTGACGGGCCCCCCACAAACACTTTTTTCGCAGTTTAGTTCATTAACAGACACACATACACATACACACACATACGTGCGCTCACGCCTACTCGCACGCACCTACCCTCTCCTACACACCTGACTAAAGCCCGGTCTCTCCCCGGGCTCCCTCCGCCAGCAAGCTCCCATCAGCTCGCCCCAGGCAGGGGGGCAGGGGCGGGGAAGCAGAGGCCGCAAACCCTCAGCACACACGGCGGCGGCCAGCTCCATCCTGCCGTACCCCATTTCCAAAACCGTGTGGACCTCGGGGTTATCCTGGGGGAAGGGGGAGGGGGAGGGGGGAAGTGTGTGTATGTATGTTTGGGCGGGGCAAAGGAGGTAAGATGGGAGGTAAGAGGTCACAGGTGTCCAGGAGGGTGGGAGAGGGCTTTAGAGGTGACACTACTCAGGGGTCGGGCGGGGGAGTCACTTTTCTGTCCGTCTGTCTGTCCGTCTGTCTGTCCCCGTCGTCCTGTTAATGGTTTCCCTCCCCTCCCCTCCCCTCCCCTCCCCTCCCTGGACTCACCTTAGTGCAATCAGAGAAGGGAACCACACCTGCCGTACACGGATGGGGGGGAGAAAGAGGGGGAAATAGGGGCGACGGTTAGGAGGGGTAATTGGGCCCGGAAGTCCTGGTGACAGACATAACCACCTAACCAACCGACGGTTAAACGCACAACCACCCAAGCGGCGATTAACTCCCAATTCTTCCCAGCCAAAACTCAGGGCCCCACCCTTCAACGTCTCCGGAGAGCCTCATCCCGGCGCCATACGATGAACATCACGCCCCGCACCCGCACCCGCGCCTCCTCCTGCCCTTTCCCTTGTTTGCAACTTGTTTCCTGTTCTCGAAAGTCCCCGACATCCTCCCCCAATACGACTCTCCACCGCAAACAAGGGAGTACCGTACACCTCCCCCCACGCTCCGTACACGCCGCAGACAACGGACTTCCGTACTTCCAGCCCCAGCCCCAACTCCCCCCCTTTGTGCGCACCAGTTGCAAGCTCATTCATGGCTACAGCCCAGGCGTACACGTCTGATGCCGTACTTGCGGGTGCCGTACGGAGCAGTAGCTCCGGAGCCATGTACTCCAGGGTACCTACCTGGGCGGTTTTAAACGGCGGGTGTCTGGGTTACAGCGGCGCCGTCCACCGTACAGGCCGTACATCCCTTCTCCCGCGTCGTACACATCTTTCATAACCCTGGTACATTCAAATTCGTCCCCGAGCCGCAACACTTCCGTCCTTCCCTCACCCTCCAAAAAACATCCACAATGTTCAATTGCACCCACCATCATTCTCTTGTAAAAGCCGCCCGATGGTTTGCCGCTCCTAGCCGCCGAATGCGCCGAAGCCTCCTGTCCGCCCACACCCGCCCCACCTGCCAGCTCCCCCCCGGCTCCGCACGGCCCCACTCGAACAGCAATTCCGAAATCTGCAACCTTCAGAGGGTACGGCGTCACGCCGCCGGGCACTACGACACCCTGAAGGGGGCTCCAGGAAGGGTCGACGACAGCGCCGCCGCCGCTCTCCTGCCCAACCGCCCGCACATCCTTACCCCCAGCATCGCCACCAGCGGCGGCGACGGCGGCCGCAACACAGTTATGACGGTTGTCGTCATGGCGGTTGTGCTGTTGCGGCGGCGGCTGTAGTGGTGGTTCCAGCAGTAGTATGTTGGCCGGTTTGATGTCCCGGTGGAGGATACCTGCCGCGTGCACGTGCTCCATTGCGGAAGCCACCTAATGTGCATTTTAAAAGGGGGAAAAGGGGAGGGGTGGGGGTGGGTGGGGGTGGGGGTGGAGGTGGTGGGGGGAAATCATAAACAGCCAGGAAACACGGGCTGAGCTGCCACGGCGTCCAATGTTCGAAACGGGGTGGGGAAAAGTAATTGAAATTATCAGGCCATGGGTTATTTTGAGGAAATGGCTTTGGGGGTGGGGGCAGTGCGTATATGCATGAAGGTCTTATATGCAACTGAAGCATGGATTTTCGTATCTTATAAAACTGGATGTCATGTGGGTACGGCACCACTCTATGTACGGCGGTACGGACGAGTCTTCCCCATTTCCCAAGCTCCCCCGGGGGACCTACTGAGTAAGAAATTCCCAACACTTGCCGCCAGCTCGGCCGCCACCCTTGCTCGTACAGCGCGTGTCGTACATTACCTCCCGCAGCCAGCGGCAGCACAATCATGTAGTCAGGAGGAAGCGCCCGTGCACCTGGGGGTTATGTATGTATGTATGTATGTATGTATGTGCGGTGCGTGGGAGATAACTTTAGGAGGCCGTCTGGGAAGATAATAAAAAACACAAGGACTGCCGGTTTGGACGGGGGGGCTAAAACCCGAATAGCAGCGGGTTTTGGGGCTTCGGAGCCAGAAGCCTCACATTCGGGAATCTGTCTAGGCAATTACAAAGAAGACGGATGGAAGAATTAAAACCCAGGAAGTGAAGTCAGGAACCCGGTCGTTACACTTCCAACCGACAACATTCTGTCCAAATGCGCTGTTCGTTCCTCCTCCCTACCCTCCATCCCCCTTCCCCCCCTCAACTCCCCCCCCATCCTCACCCCTCACCTCCCAACACACGCACGCACACAACACACCCCTCCACACGAACCTCACCCACAAGGGGAACCACCGCGGGGTGGGCTAAGGCGGCCAGCAACACCAGCTCCTGCCGAAACCGGTCCAAATCAGCAGATGTGGCAATACGAACCTGGACGACAGGGGGCGGGAGAAAATGGAGGGGAAACGTGTGTTTTACTGTGCACATAGCACGTGATCGTTGGCAGAACGAATCGACAGACAGACAGACAGACGACTAAGTCGACAAAGCTAGGTGAGGTCCGCGCACGCTGGGGCCACTTAACATGATATTACGTTCCCCCCTCTGGGGGGAACCCGCATCTGCCAATCGACATCACGGATACCTTTTTGATTGCGACGTCCTGACCCCGCCACGAGCCTCGGTAGACGGTGCTCTCCGCACCTTCGGATAGCTTCCCTGCAGAGTGGAGCAGGGAGAAGCTGGGTTGGTGTGGGTGGCGGAAATTTATATCGCGGTGCTGTGGCGCTGAGTAATGGGTTGTGGTGGAAATGGTGTGTTGCGTCGTGTTTAGCTTGGACATCGTTTGGCTTTCATGCCTAGTTCAAATCTTTTCGATGCAGGATCGCCTAAGAAATGATCGATTTGGTTGAACAGTGATACACGGAAACACATGTAGGATGTCAAGAAGGGAGCTAAGCAACACGGTTGGGAGCTCAGCAGTCAGCGACCGATCGGCAGTTAGGATTGGCCCGTGACCACAAACCTTTGCCTGGTGCAAGCGGCATGCAACCCACCCGAAATGGCAAGGTCCGCAGCTGTTAAGCTGAGTGGCACAATACATCGTTCACCAACACTTCGAGCCTGGTTGGGAGACGCAGCGCAGCTTAAGTACGGTTTGGGAAGCCTCCGTCGAGAATGATGTGTCAAGCAACCGAGCGCACAGATTACCTTCAACAAATCACCACTGCGCACAGCTGCAGTCATCGCCTGCAAAGCGTCCGCAACTTGCAACGGCCGGTCGCCATGTGCGACCTCCGGGTCGTCAGTCATGCTAGTTATCCCTGCCATCGTATCGAGGCGGCATCCATAATGCATTTCTCATAATTGAACAGACGCGTTTGTGCCACTTTTGGGGGTTGAGTTGTTGTAGTACACCGTTCGGTTCATCGCGTTCCATGTTGACCGCGGGCCCTTTGACGGTAGGGAAGCCAAAGCTCAAAACTGCTTTGTGTCCTTATAGCACTGGTTTACTGCTTCGTCTCAGCCTAGCGGGACGATAGGAAAGATGACCAGTGTTTCCAGCTTTGAGTCTGGTCACGCAGACATGGTGCACGATGCGCAATTGGATTACTATGGTCGTCGTCTAGCGACATGTTCATCTGACCGGACTGTCAAGGTCTTTGACATAGTGGGAGATCGCCACACTCACCTCGCCGACTTGCGAGGACACGAGGGTCCCGTGTGGCAAGTTTGCTGGGGACATCCGAAGTTTGGTTCAATCCTCGCCTCCTGCTCATTTGATCACCGCGTTATCATCTGGAAGGAAGGCCAAGGCAATCAGTGGCAACAGGCAAGAGCGCGCAGGCCAGCGTTGCATTTCGTACAATGCTCTTAACCCAGGCTTCACGGTTTGCAGGCGTATATATCTCCTGGAAACTTGCACACAGCCTCTGTGAACAGCATTTGCTGGGCGCCTTACGAACTGGGTCTGATCTTGGCGTGCGCGTCCTCCGATGGTAGCGTCTCATTCCTTGAGTATAAAGCGGATGGAACATGGGAGATAAACAAGGTGGGCTTGACAGTCTTCCGGGAATCAACCGGGTAATCATTTGGAGGGAGCGCGGACGGAGGGGTCACCGTGTCGTGGACATAGAGTCGGGCTCCAGCTTCCTGCTGTAGCAACTCCCCGCAATTTTATACCCCCTTACATGTTGCCCTCCTTTGCAGCTTCCCGGTGGCCACAACGTGGGCTGTACTGCCGTCAGTTGGGCACCCGCGACTGCACCGGGGTCGCTAGTGAGCATGAAGCACGGGCAGCCTGGAGCAGTCAAGCGCCTAGCAACCTCCGGCTGCGATAACTTGCTCAAGGTGCGCAACGCACAAGGGCATCATGGGTGGTTTTGCACGGCGTGCACAGGCATTGAATGTGTCCTGGCGCCTAAAATCCTCATGGCGGCCTCTGCGGCATCAGCCTGCTGTAGGCAGCTTATCCGCTATCCTTTAGGTCCGGGAGTTAGGAGAGAAAGGAAAGCTGCAAATTTGGATGAGACCGGAGAAAACGACGCTAAACTGAGATGCAGACGATGTGTAAACATTCGCCATGACTGCTGACTAGTAGACATGAATGAAACGCTGATGACTGGACGGACCACCATGCCGCCGTACAATGGCCATACTATCGTCCGCACTTAAGGCATACACACGTCCGCACATTAAGACCGAATATTGTTCTGGTTCTGCATCGTTCAGATCTGGCGCTACGGCGAGATGGGCTGGGAGGAGGAGGAGGCCCTGGTTGGGCATAGCGACTGGGTGCGAGACGTCGCGTGGGCGCCCAGTCTTGGCCTGCCCAAGAGCACCATTGCTTCCGCCGGCCAGGATGGCCAAGTGTTTGTCTGGAGCGAGCGGCCCGCGGGCGGCGGCTGGGACCGTAAGCTGGTCCACGATTTCAAGGTGCCGGTTTGGCGGGTAAGCTGGTCCACGACCGGTTCCATCTTGGCGGTGTCTGATGGCAACAACGCCGTCACGCTTTGGAAGGAGTCTATGGACGGTATCTGGCAGCAGGTTACGCAGTAGTTTGGCTGCGAGTGTTTTGGGGGCTGTTGCTATCTTGAAGGGCGTCGTCATCAGGGATGCGGGAAGGAAGGAAGGGCGATATCAGGGACAACGTGTGACGTATGATTGGAAAAACGCATGAGGTGGGCGTGGGACTGGGCCTGTATGTGGGGGGCATGGGGCAGGGCCGATAAACGCGAATAATTTGGTTTGGTGCTGGAGCGGAGGTTCGATAAGGGGACATTGACCTTGCGGATGCGTTGGCTGGGCTTGACGATGAGGCAGCGAGCAGCACCCACCAGGTTGCCGGCTTGCGCGGGTTCATGAGGGTCTTTGGGGCCTATCAGGTGTTGCGTCTTGGCGTACTGAGATAGGTCTAGGTGCATGTTCCAGACTGGCTTGGTGTGCATTTTGGAGATGGAAAAGAGGGTAAAAGTGATAGGAGTGGGTGTTGCGCAAAGTACTTTGTGACGTCGGAGACGGTACATAGCCATTTCTGCGTGCGCGCTTGCACCGCGCTTACGCCAATTGTTTTGGACGTGTTTTGCTGTGCTTGGGGATCGAGGAATACTTTTCTGGAGCAAGCGTGTAATTTTAGGCAGAGCTGTGGCATGGGCTGACTTCGTTTATGGCAGCTGTTTAGCTGAACATGAAGGTGGAGCGGTACGGTTAATGATGGGCTATGGATAAATTAGATACTTGGTTTACTGGTTTTAACTTAGCGATTATGTACACGAAACCGTTTTTCGACTGCACTTGCGGGCAACGCCGCCGCGCAACGTGGCGTGCGGATTGCGGGCAGTGCACGACACCGGTCTATACCTCGCTAGATGCTAAGCGATGCTTTTCCTATGGGTTTTACTTACATTCCGGTCGCGCCAAAATCCAGGCGGCTTCACCTAATCGGAAAATGGGAATACGCGGACTGTTCGTCTTCAATACAAACGTTGTGGTCGTTTACTTAAAATTATTGGCAGCACAGTTATGGCAAATTCACGCAGATCTTGAGCCAGCTGCCGATGAAGGCGGTTCGCAAGTTAAAGTAGGGTGCCTTGTTAGCACGAACATGCGTTACATCCCTAACAATGGAAGGCGATTAGTTTATGCGTTTTCAATATGCACAAGCGTAGTAGAAGAGAAGACGTGATCTGCACATTAATGCTATAGCGCAAGTCTTTTTAGCCTAGCTTCGGTGTTCCCTGTGCACGCCCCATACACTGGGATATCTTTCTGAAACGATACCAAGGCTGAACATTTAACACGTTGGCTTTCGAAAAACGTTTATTATGACACCACACATTGTATGCACAAAAGCGATGCCCGTGCTCCGCTTGCTGCGGTTGCTGTTATGGAAAAGCTCAGCTATAACGGACTTCGTGCCATTCGTTTAAGTAGGTGATGTTCATCAATTTGATCTATTTACGGTATGCGATTAACATACACAAAGAAACATCGCACTTTGCCGAAACTCTACACTTACATACCGGGCTGGCCACTACTGATCGACATTAAATCATTAAAACCCTTCGAGATGTGGAAGGTCATACGCAACTGAGATGGCCGAGTTTTGGGTGGTTCTATCCGTACTTGTACGGAGCACCGTTTGTAAGCAAAGAAGTAACTCCACCATTCTACAAGCATATGTACGTTGTGTTTTTTCTTAGTGCAGGCAGCAGTGGCACCCTTCAACTGCGTATATGCTAAGTGATGCCGCTTGGCGCGTGCGAGAGTGAGGCGTTAGGCTGCGACTCGTTGAATTTCGCGACTTCGTGGATGGCAGCCCCTGCTATGAACTTATTCAGTGGTTTTCAGGACCACTTGGCGTCGCCCAACGATGACCTCCTTGGTCAGACACCCGAGGGCCAACAAGCACTGATTTTCGCGGGTAAGTTCGTCTTCAGCGCTTATGCAAATCATTTTTGCAAAGAATATATATTTGTAAAAGGTTTTATCCGTTTTAAGGTTGTATGGCAAGTTCTCACGGTACTGCGAGGACAGCTATTTCTGACTCGAGACTTGCTGGCGCGCAGGTGCTGACTTTGCCCTTCATGGCCTGAGCCAAGAGCAAAAAGAACTCTTTCGGCTATGCTCTCAGCATGTAGAGCAAGAGAGAGAGGCTCAGGCTCGATTGCAGGCTTTTGAGGCCGCGGCTGCAGGCTCTACAAGCGGAACACCAACACATTCTGGACTATTAGGCCAAAGCCAGAGCTTGTCTCCACCACCTCAACCTGCGCAGCAGCCTCCATCGTCTCAGGGCAGCAGCTTCAGTCACTCCTCGGTTTCGGTCCCGCATACGCCCTTGAAGCCTTTCGACAGCGGCCTTGCAGGTCTTGGCGGTTCAGCGTTGAGCACGCCAACGATTTCAACTGGATCTTTATCACTTGCTGGAGCGGTCATGAATTCATCGGCAGTTGATGCCACATCGTCAGCCCTTCACAGCGGCTCGCCCATGACGCCGCGCCAAATGCTCTCTACAGATCATATGCTTATGGTCCCCTCCGCCTCGCTCCTCAGCGTCCACGCTCCGACGCCGGGTCAAAACCCCCCAGGCCAGGTACCGCCTCCACCCCCGCCTTCCACGCCCAACAATATGCTTACTGTCGGCAACGGCGGGCCAGGCGGGTCTGGCAGTACTGCTACAACCGGAGGGACCGCTGGTAGCTCTGCGCAAGGACACCTTACTATGGCCTTCGCACAGGCTCTGGCGCGAGCGGCAGCAGAGCGCGGGGTAGATCCGGCAACCCTGGTTCAACTCCTGCAGAGCCCCAACCTCGTCGACGTGCTGTTGTCAAAAGCAGGAGATCTACAACTTCAACAACAACAGCTGCAGCAACAACAGCAGCTGCAGCAGCAACAACAACAACAGCAGCAACAACAGCAACAGCTGCAGCAGCAATTACAGCAGCAGCAACAACAACAGCTGCAGCAACAACAGCAGCTGCAGCAACAACAGCAGCTGCAGCAACAACAGCAGCTGCAGCAACAACAGCAGCTGCAGCAACAACAGCTGCAACAGCAGCAGGTGTGTAATTCATGCAAACCAGAAGCCACGCCAATTCGACGTCTGACGACATACGCATACACACACGCCCCACCGCGCTCATAACCCAGTCTTGTACCCCCCGGTGCTGAACCTACCTAGATGGGAAGGCGATGAACTGCGAATACTGCTTGATGAGGCGGGTGATGCGGACAGGGTCAGCAATCTCTGCAGCTTCTGAAAGCGTTTATCCGGCGTGGAGAAAATGAAGAGTTTGTCCGTGCACACTAAGCGGTACTTATGCAACTAAGCAACTCAGTTGGCCAAGACACCCCCTTGCCGACATTGCAACAAGAGGCATCACAGTTCTTCCAGTCGTCGTGTGTCGGGGTCCCTTGTCTAAATCTCTCCTTGTTCAGCCGTGGTCCCTGTCGTACTCACCCTGTCTCTCTATGCCATCTCTGTGCACACCGCAGGTGGCGCCCTTGTCACTGCAGGCTCCTCCGCCTCCCCCTCCGCCACCCAAGCCGCCGCAGCTGCAGAGCCGTATGTCTGCCCCCGTTCCTGGAGAGTGGCCGCCGCACCACCCGGCGGCCACCCTTGGAGGCAGCCACGTGGCAGCCCTACAGCACTTTAGGCCGCCGCCGCCGCCACCGCCACGGCCGTCGCCAGCTGCTGCCGCAGCCGCCGCAGCGGCGGCCGCAACAACTGTAAATGCCTTTGGTGCTTCCGCTGCCAGCGGTAGCGGCACTGCTAGCTCGGGGGGCGCTAGCGCCGGTAGCTCTGGAGGTGGTGGTGCTGGCGGCGGCGGCGGCAGTAGCAGCAGCAGTGGCAGCGCTAGCGGCAGCCTGGACAACATGCCTTCGATGCAACAGATGTTGTCGAGCCACCTTGTTCAGGAATTTGTATCAGCCCGTGGCGTGCTGGTGCAGCTGATGATGTCGGCTTACGCTTTCCTAAACTCGGACTCAATGCGTGAGTTCTACGACAAGCTCATGCCGGTTTCGGCCCTGTACGACGAGATGCACGAGTTGCCTGTCGTGCAGAAGCGCAAGCGTTGCATGGAGATGTCGTACTTGCGCATGCAGCTTATGCAGGATCCGAGCTTTACGCAGATCCTGCAAGCAGTTTGCTTACTACGACACCACCTCTACAGCCTCTCCCGCAAGGTGCTCGTAATGAACCAGGGACCGGACGGCATCCCCATTGATCTGCTGCTGGGCTCGATGTCTACGGAGCTTTTCCACCTGCTGAAGGGGGTGCTGCCCCAGGAGATCTGCGACTTGTTCGGGAACTGCCTGCCGCACCCGCGACTGGCAGTGCTGGTGTTTGCCGAGTTCACCTCGGTGGATCCCATGCCCACACTCGCTTGAAAGGAGTATGCACGGCATGAATACGGCACCATTACGCGAGCCGCAATTTCTTGCCAGTGCGGTTCTGGATGTAGGGAGCGTGTACGGCCGGACGGCTCTCAGATGGGTTCCTACGTGCTTGTTTTGGATGTTGTAGTGCGTGGGCGCCTGGTCTGGAGCTAGTTGGCGGTGAAAGGAGGATGGGGGCAGGTCACGAGAAACGAGAGAAGGAAAACTCATTGTATCAGTGGCAGAATCAGGATCAGTCTTTGTGGTGAAAAGTGGGTTGAATTTGCTTTTAGCACGAGGAGCTGCATATCGACGAAGCAGCGTGCGGAGTCGTGCTGCTGCTTCAACCGTTGCACCGACTTGTGCTCGTGCAGTTGCTGGTTGGAGGCGAGGCGATGCGATGCCTCGTAGTTGTGTCTGTTTCAAGGACAGATAGAAAGCCTGGCTGGCGCGCGGGCGAGGTGAAAGCGGTTTGTGGGATGTTTGCTTGTTTTTTCCCCTCGCGCTCCTGTTGCGCGTTCAGTTCGCCTTCTATTTCCACGGCGCTTTTCAGCGAAACTTTCTGCGGTGTCGGGCTGTGTGGCGATTGGCCTCGGAAGGAAATGACCCCTTTGATGTAGCTGTGGCGCGCAGGTGTTCCTCTGCGGGCCGAAAGTCCCCTACGCTTGCTGTTGTTGTTTTCTAGGTCTTGTCTTAGGAAGGCACCCCACCTAAAAGCACAACAGCGCAGCTTTTAATAAAAGCCGCACAGTCATATGCACTTTGCATGTAGTCGAGCTGCAAATTTGAAGGAGAAAGTTGCGGCGACGGCGGCAGGTGGGCGGCAGGTTGTTCTTTTCGCTTTTAACTAATGTATGGAGTGCAGGATCAGGAGATGCAGCAGGAGGACGACCCGGAAGGGGATGAGGAGAGCATATTTGAGGTGTGTCGTCGCAGGCTTGATGTTGCGCGGTGTTGAGGGGGTTTGGTTTTGCGCGGAGGCGTCTAAAAAGGATGCCATCCACCCCGCCGCGTACCGTGTCCGTGTCTCGTTTCCCCATCCTTTGACTCCTTACTTCGGCCACAGCGCTTTTAGCGGCTTGCGATCTCTCTTGAGGAGAGACGCTGCCTTTTGTTCAAATGGAGGCGGCAGCATAACCCTCTCCCCTCCCCTGCACACCACTGCGCGAGACTGCAACGCACCCGTTGTTCAATTCCACCACCGTTACCACCAGTTCAGACGTAGCGCGACTCCCACCCCGCCCCGTGCATGAATGCACTGGGGGATTAGAGCAAGGTGGACTGGACTGCCAATGTGGGTTGCGGGGGCGGTAGTAAGAGGTCGTGGTGAGAGTTATGCTGTCGTCCTGTAAGTTGTGGCCTGGCTGGGCCAATGACATCAAGTTGGAGTTAGCGGCATGCACCAAACCTGACAATTCCAAGATGATTGTCGTACAACCACCCGCCGATGCTTTGTCCTACCGACTAACGGGCATTATGCGTTCGAGGTACGGAGCCCCCATGTCTCGCGGTGGGGCGGGCGGCATCGGAGTGGCGTCACAGAAGGAAACGATGATTTGGATGGGGGGTCAGGAAAGGTAGGACGATTATGGAGTTGTAGCTGATGTTGACGATGGGGGTTATTCTTTCCTGTCATTACTTTTCCCTTTCTTGGTTGCCATTTGTAGAAAAGATAGGGATAATTTGCTGCAGGAGCAGTGGACTTTTGTGCTAGTTCCTTGTTAATTGGTAATGTGGTAGTGCTGGGTTTGACACAAGTCTTGGGATTTTTAGGGGATTCACGGGCTGTGTCGGTCCGGCCCTGTTCCGGCAATCCGGCGATGTCTTGGGGCTTCTCAACTTGGCGATAGGGATGGAATGCAGCGACATGCAGCTCTCAGTTTGGGGGCATACCATTACCAAAAATCCTGAAATCTGCACCAAGGCGATTGTTACTCTGCTCCCGAACACTATTGTGCACTGCCGGTGCATGCGTGGTGCAGCAGACGGTTGGCAGGTCGGTCAATTGCACAGAAGCGGGTACCTGAAAAGGCCGTGAAGGGGGGAAGGTGCCAAAAATTGCTGGCATGCTGGACACGTAAGTACCCGTCACAGACCGCTATCTTTCCATCCTCCCGCTTTTGCGCCCATCATCACTCCCGGGTTCGCGCTCCCGGATTCGCGGGCCGTTACGTACATGACGGTTCCTATGCGCACGGGGACACACCCGCCCGTGTGCTTGCCTAGTATTACGCATGTGTGCATATACGATATGAACCGCGATGGGGATGCTGGCGCTGCGGGGAATCCGCTGGAAGTGGTGTGGGAGCGTGGTGATGGGGACTGAAGTAGATGTGCTGGGGTCCGACCTAATGGAGGGGCCACTGGCGCGCGGTGCGGCTCGTTATTGCTACTGTGCCGTGTCCGCTGCTGCTGCCCCATCATGGGCTGCATCTCCTTCCTCTGTTCCAGTCCATGGAAGGTGGACGAGTGGCGAAAAGCTCGGGACTTGCCTCTTGGCGTATGGTGCGAAACGTAACCAGTTTTCATATGGTGCGGTTTGTGGTTACATGCCTCTGATGGCCGATACTCGGCAACGAACCATGTTGCGTCTCTCCCAGCGCGCAGTCCTGTTCATATCTCCCACGCTTCTTTCGGGTTGTGACCCCCACAGTATTGTGTGGATTGATTGGCAAATGCTTCCACATTTCCTGAGGACAAAGACAGCTTCCAGGTTGCGATTGCCTGTCTCGCACTATAGGGCCTTATTTGTTGGGAAGCCACATAAGGAATTTCCAGCTCGGGGTGCGGGAAAAGGGGGCGTTGGCGGATTGTCGGGAAGGGCCAGGCTTTCGCGTATCAAGGAGAGTATGTCATGTTGCCGTGTGGATAGGTATGACGCAGTGACGATGCTGTTGCGGAGGCACCCAACCACCCCCAATCCACATTACAAGTGGTGGTGGCGGTTGCGGTGCGTGCCGCGGAATGCACGCAACTGCGTTTTCTCACGTGCACGTAGCGTACGTGTCCTACTCGGTTTTACAAATTGTTGAAAGAGTCGTACGCGCAAACGATTATTGTCCGGCAACTTAAACATTCTTATTCCCAGGCTGGCAATGGGCACTCGAGTCACTTGACGGCCGCACCCCAATTCCGCGGTGCTGCAATGAGAGACCTTCCTGTTGTCGGGCTGTGGATAGCCTAGTCTGTTGTTTATCTGCAAGCGTCTCTTACGATTACACTCGGTCCTTCTACCGAATTACGATTGATTGTTTCTTAGAAGACACTCCAATGGGATGAGCCGTTTGCTGCAACTGCGCGAGCGGCACCTGATTTCCTTACACCCATATACGTAAAACCGTAACCACGCTCTCGATGCAACTACCTGCCGCAGGGGGGCCGACTGGCGAGCCAATTTGTTTGTCTGAGGGGGGACCTCTTTAATCCGTGGAGGATGATTATGAGATTTAATAGCGTAACGTAACCTCGGGCAGGCCGTTTGATGCTGTTGACAACGTGGCGTGGCTGTGGGGAAAACGACCTGGCTGTGGGCTGGTTGGTTTGCGTGTTTCGAGCTGCCCGCTTCGTTGCAGGAGGTTATGTGGTGTGGGTCAACGAACACTGTAATACGACCCCAAGGTGTAACGGTCGGCCTGTACCAATCGACAATTTCTAACCAATGTATCCAAACGAATAACATCCCGCTACATCCCACATATTACCCGACGACTACATGTCGCCTAGTATGCGGGCAATACGGTACAAAGATCAGTTGCGGTCAGAGCGTTCCGACTGGCAGTATAGATTCGTTTAGGCCGCGCCATGCGCCTTTTCGCAAGCAGCGGTTTTGCAAAAAATAACACAGCATTTTTTGGCGCTGGATCAACTGTGACGCCACGACCGTGGTGCCGACAGGGGACGCTGGTCTTGAGACCGCCGTTCCCCGCCCCCGAAACCCCTGCCACCCGCCATCACCGCGTTCATCCCCGCCCCCAATCCCATCCGCTCCAACGACCTATCGTCCATCTCGCTGTATCTAGAATCCATCGCCAAGTAGGGATCCACGATGCCGCCGCCGCCAAGCAACGGACCGTCAGCCCTGCCGGCCTGCGTGTCGAAGGCCGTGGCGCCACCGGCATACGCAGCGCTTCCACCGCTGCCACCGCCATGACCGTACCCAGAAGCAGTTCCCGTCCCATACATGTAAATGCTTTGCAAGCGCTGCAAGTGAGACACGCTGCGGGATCGGGGCCGCGTTGGCCGATTACCGTACATTGCCGCCGCGGCAGAAACGGGTCGGCTTCGGCCGGTACCGCCAGAAGGACCAACCCCGCCGCTGCCGCCGACAGCTGTCCGTGAAGACGGCGTCAGCGCAGACTTCCCGCGGAGGGTGCGCGGATCGCGGGGCGCCCCGCCGCCAGCTGTGACGCGATGGGAGGGCCGACACGCCAGCAGGTGCTTCACCAGGAGGTCCATCCGGTAATTCTGCACAGGCCAGCCAGAGGGCGGACACGCAAATTCCGGGAGGAGGGCCTTGCCATCAACATGACTAATATAGAGAAAGCCTGCACCCCCTCTTAATCCTTCCTACTCTAGCGCTTCATTTTGTTATATGCGAGGGTCAGCTGCTTTGACGCACTACATATCCTTTCCCATCTGAAGTTACACTTACATCGTCCTCGTGCAGTAGCTCCATGCGTAGTTTGCGGGCCCTACTGGGCAGCGGGCTCTCCACCGGGGTCCTTAGCGCCGGAACCACCACCGCCACTGCCGCCATCGTCGTCGTCGGCGGCGACGGCAACGGCGGCGGCGGTAGCATCATCACGGCCCCGTCCAGATCATCAGACATCACCACAAATAAGCCAGCGCCGTTTGACCTCGCTGCCTCCGCTGCCATCAGAGCTGCTGTTGCAACTGTCCCGTCAGCCCGGACCGCCAGCGCATTCGCCGTGGGTCCACCTCCGGCGCTGGTTGAGAGCCCCTCCCCGACTGACTCCATAGCGCCGCCCAGAGGCGCCTCGCTGCTACTTACTCCGGGGCTTTGCGCCTGCGCCTGCGGTTGCACATGCGGATGCGGATGCTCCCCTGCGAGCTGCGGCGCACCGCACACAGACCCGCCGCTGCTGCCGCTGCCGACGCCGGACCCAGTGGGCAGCTCCGAGATGGAAATCATGTGGACATTCTTAGGCCGCGGCGACAATACCTGTTGCGTCTTGTATTGCTCGATCAGCGCTCGACGCTCCTGTTCCTCAGAAACAGCCGCTGACCCCGCGGCGCAGCCGCCGAAAGCCGCGTCCTCTCCTGCAAAGCCCGCCCCGGAGCCGCTACCCAAACGCTGCCGTAACCTGCCGGCGCTGCGTTGCCGCTGCGAGGGCTGCGACGCCAATGAATGCTGCTGGTGCTGCTGGTGCCGATGGCTGTGGCTAATATTGGGATGGTGGTGATATTGGCTGTGATAGTTATGGTGGTACTGGTTTCGGTGTTGGTGGTGTTGGTGGTGAGGATAGTGATTTTGCGTTTGGTAGGGGTTGGTGTCCTCCTCCTGAACCTCCGGGGAGCGCCGCTGCCGCTGCTGCAACAGGACGGCCTGCACGCTGCGTTGCAGCGGATTGGGGTCAACCCCAGCCGCACTCCCACAGCCGCTGCCACCACCAGCGGTAGAAGTACCGGAGAAGCTGCCGCTGCCGACACTATCGCTTCCCCGCAAGGTAGTTACTCGAGGCAGTTCAGACCCCCCACCGGCGCGGGACTTTCCCCGGCCGCCCCCGTCCGGTCCATCACGATTTCCTTTTCGGAGACGTTGCTGCATGTGAAGACGGTCATGGTCGTCCTCCTCCTCCTCCTCGCCGCCTCCACCGTCGCCGACAGCGTCGGTGCCCCCACCGGCGGAATAACGGCGATGCAGTACTCCCCCGGTCGCAGCCGCCGCTGGCATTCCGCCGGGTCGTGGCGGCAGCGCCACCTCACGTCTGAGCCACGCTCCGCCGCCGCCGCCGCCGCTGCGCTCCGACAGTCCTCTATGAAGGCCACGATCGATACCTTCACCGCCGCCGCCGCCTTCCTGCACGTCTTCGGAGTAGCTAGCCTTCTGCTGATGATGACTGGGATGGCGCTGTCTCTGTTGCCGCTTGCAGACGGGCGGCGATGTTGACTGCGGTTGCGACCAGAGAGGCTGCGCGTGCTGCTGCATATATGGTGGACGGTGCTGATTCTCGCCGGGTGGAAATCCAGCAGGTACGGTTGACCCGCGCAGGAGCACCCTCCGATCCGCGGCGGCGGCGGGCCTGCTGCGAGTTGGAGAGGCATCCCGCGGGTCCAGAGAGGTTGATCCCTCCTCCGGCCGGGGAGCCCCGGGTCCCACACTTGCCGGCGACGGCGGCGGTGCAGCCAACTGTACACCCATGGAGTCAGGGCTGAGGCTAGTGAGGGTTGCCCGCTGCGGCGGCTGTGGAGAGTTGGCAGCGGCGGCGGCGCCACGGTTAGCAGGCGGACTCCGCGCTTGGCTCTTTCGCAGGTGGAGAGGTGACCGGTCCAGCAATGCCCGCGGCGAGCTAACACCGCCGCCACCGCCAGCAGCAACACCACCGCCGGGTTGCGCCTGTGACGGCGACGGCGGCGGCGGCGGCGCCACCTTCAGTAGTATCCGCTGAGTGGCCGCGCTAACGCCATTGGCCGAATGAGGCTTGCCGGCAGCCAGCGCCCGATTTTCCCAATTTTCCCCTACCAGACAGGCCGAGGCCGTTGCACTGGCAACAGGTGCCATAGGGGCGGCGACCTGCACTTGGCAGGCCGTGAGGGACCTCCGTGCAGCGATCATCGCCTCCGTGCCCTCCTCCGCCGCGACCAGCTGAAGGGCAGCGAGGCTGGTGAAGCTGCGGACGGTATCGAGCGCCGGCCGTCGGGTCAGCTGCGGCGGCTGATCCTGAGGGTGCTGCTGCTTCCGCTGCTGGGGATGGTTATGCTGTTGTTGTTCTTGTTGTTGTGATGGTTGTTGTTGTGATGGTTGTTGTTGTTGGTGGTGGTGCCGGCGCAAGTCCTTGGCCGCAGGCTGTTGCGCAGGGACAGCCTCATCGAGGGCCGCTGTTGTTGCAGCGCCGCTGCTGTTGCCGCCGTTGCCGCTCCGGGAGAGCCGCCGGGCCACCGCCGCGGCCAAACGCCGGGTATCGATCTTCGTGTTCCCCGTCAGCGGCAACGGCAAATTCGGTGCTGCCTGCGGCCGAGGGGACTGCACCTGCGCGGATGCTGACAGTAGCAGAGCTGGCGGAGGACCGGGACCCGACGTTCCTATGTCTATGCCCGGCATGCCGCTCAGGCTGTAGCCCAGCGCCGCCGCCGTCGCAGCCGTGGCAGGGCCAAGAGGGTTGCTGCCACCGGTGCGCAGGAGCGCAGCGACGGTGGCAGCAGCCGTCGCCGTCGCGGAGCTCAGCATGGCCTGAATCGCCGGCGGCACGAGCCGGCCGTCAGCATCCGCGGCCTGTACATCTTCCGCGGCAGCGGCCCTGGGCGCAGAGCTGCTGCTGTTGTCGATGAAAGAAACATGTCGACTCCGAGGCGACTTGGCCGCCGCCGCCGCGGCAGCGGCCGCAGCTGCTGCGTCGGCCATAACGGCTGCGGCTGGACCTGCAGCGGCAGCCGCATCGCCGCTGGCTGCGGCTGCAGGTGCCGCGCCATGTCGTTCGTTGCTGCCACCGCCACCAGCTCCGCGTGCAACAGCCCCAGGGACATGACCGTTCACAAAGCCCGGCGCGCTAATATGCGGTGCCACATCGTCACCGCTCGACTGCCGCGCCAGTAGCGCCGACGGGTTCGTGAACAGCGACGAACAGTGCTGGATCGTGCTGAGTAGCTCTGGTGTCAACCCCGGCGGCAGGGTTGTCCCCGGCGCTTGGCCACTGGGAACTAACCGGTGCTCCCGTGCGCAGCAGCCACTGGCGGATGCGACCCGTGGGTCAGGACCCCGTGTCGCGGCAGCACCGCAGCACGGGTAAAACCCTGTTGCGAGCTGCCGCGCCGCTGCACTCCCACCAGCCGCCGCGCTGGCTGCGAACACGGGGGCCTGTGGATGGAAGGTGCAGCGGCGCAACTCCACTGCCGGTGCGTGCTGCATGCAGGTATGGCAATAGAGCACGTGCACGAGGCCCCAGATGTGCCAGTAAATGCCGCGCCATGCGATCTGCTGCGCGCGCAGGGAGGCTAGGTACTCTTGCAAGCGCCACGCGGCATCTGGGATATGCACAGCTCCCGAGGAGCCCGCGGAGGACCTGCAGCAGGGTAGGGTAGGGTAGGGTGAGGAAAAGTGGAAAGAAATGTGAGGTGCGTTGAAATTACTCCAATACCTACCTTTCGCGTAAAGGAAAAACGTGTGAAATGCGATGAAAAACATGGTGGTGCTGCTGACACCGTTGATGGTGGTGGTCAATGACGTTGGCGATGGCAATTAAGGCATATTGATCAACGAGGAGAAGCATTTTAAAACCCAACAGAGGTTAAGGTGGGCGGCTGACACAGACAGAGATTGCGGTCGTCATGGTACTGGAGAGGCCGCATTCAGATCTCGCCAGCTAAAAAAATGCACCACTAGTGTCCGCAGCGAGCTGACGTCAAATAAAACCAATTCATGTGTCAGCAAATTTCCCCCAGCTAAAGGGCTGTCGCATCACGTCCTGGCTTCCGGAGTGCTCGGGGCATGCTTCTTTACTGCTTTCCTTATTGCCCCCACAGTAACATTTGATATTTATTCATTCACTCACTCATTCATCACCACCGCCGAATAGATACCAGAATACATCCTCTTATACAAAAGAGGAGGATATGGAAAGAAGCCGTATAGGCTAAACGTGATGCGAACGCGAACAAGAGGGATCGGCCCAGCGGCGGGCCGGGACCCTCAACACACACACCCAAAAAACACACGTACCTTCGTGGCATATGCAGTGACGACGACTTGGACTGTGGAGGAGGAGGCGGACCCGGACACTCCAGCTTTGCGCGTTCCGCCAGACTGAACAGGCCCTGTACACAGCCGCGCCACGGACGCCATTTACATGAATCGGTTGCGAGGATGTCCAATTCATGATGTCCTCTTGCGAAAATTTATTTCCCCCACGCCCACGGCTCGGTACATGTTTTTTCCACAGGGCCAGTTTTACTTGCGATACGCGACCTGACTATGGTATTGAGGTGTGCGTGCTGCGCTGGGTAAGGCCGAAGGAAACCCGCAGTCGCCATCATTGCGAAGGTCCCCTTCATCGTGCGTCGCGTAGCCGCAGAAAAAGCAAATGGACTCCACGGGAGGTAACGGGATGGCAAATACCACCTTGCGTCATTGTTATAAGAACGGCATGCCGCCGAATAAACCGCAACCCACACCGGGGCCGCCGGGCCGTACGGCAGGCATCACACCGCAATGTACGGCACTGCATTGTTTTCAAAATCTTCGTACCTTGCATACCGAACAGCGCGCCACCGTGGTCCGGAGGTCCCGTAGACAGGCCTCCAACTTGTACTTGTACAGCCGATTGACGAGCGGCATGTGCCTGCTCCGGGCCACAACAAAATGAAGTCCCCGCCAGGCAACGCCTCAAAAAACTCCGCTTTCCTTAAGAATTGTGTGAAACGTTTACATCATCGACAGGCGAGGCATGGCAGATTAGGCTGAGGCTGCGCGACGAAAGCTGACCCATTCTTCCATCCCCTCTGTTCCCCTAATCTCCTTTTGGCCCCCATCCTGCCCCTCCTGCTCCATGAGTTCCATCCCAGACCTCAACAGGCACGAGGAGGCAGCCGACGGACCCTCCGCTGCAGCAGACTTCTCAGCCAGCCGGATTTAACCACTGTCGGTCATCGTTCTTGCTTAGCCTCCCCCCCGCGCGCTTAGCATACCTGGCGCGCTCTTCCGCAGGAGTTAACGACGTCAGTTCCTCCAGCTTACGCTCCGAGACCAACTGCACGGACGCCAAGAATCTCTCTCTTCTTTGGCGGGTAACATGTTGATGGTGGTCAATGCCGAATAACGGGATAAGGCGAAAGAGACGCAGCGGCGAGGCACAGCACAACCGTGCCATGGAAACGTCCAGGGGATTGTAGGAAAGACTTGCTTTATCATGCAAAAGTGAAGGGGCCTTTACCCATCCTTGCCCACCATCCTGCTTAACTCCCTGACTTGTCGGCTTACCTCACACAATATGCCTCCGCAGGCAGCCTCTTACAGGCAGACCCCACCATAAACTCGCCATTCGCAGCTTCGCTGTAGAAAACGAGCTGCCAAAGCTCCAGACTGAGCTCACTCACTTCAAAGTACAATTTACAACCCAAATGCAGGACCCGAATCGGCCTTACTCACGGAAGCATAGCTTCGCCCCAAAAGGCAACCCAAAATGCAGCTTACCCTCGCCAGCCGGCACAGCAGCTCCAGTGGCAGCGCAGTGAGGTCTCCGCTCTGCCCGGCGAGCTGCTGATGGTGTTTTGCCACTTCCACCAAGTTGCTGGCCATGAACTTGACACAGTCCATCACCAAAGCTTCCATCTGGGCTTCCATGCAATCGGAAGTGCACGGAAAGGGCAGACACGGAGGAGACCGAAATGAGAGAAACGGGTGGTGCTGAGGGTGCTGAGCGCGGGTGAAGATGAGGGTGGAAGATGGCGTCCAGGGCAGGAACGGAGACTGTTTGGGGTTATGGGCCAAGCGCGATCTGTGCAGCCATCTGTGCAGCGCGGTCTGTGGGAAGAGACCGCGTAACCGAAGGGAAGAGCGGCCAACCCACGGGCCGCAGAGAGGCAGCGCCATCAATTGTGGCCCAGTTTTTGACAGAGCCCCGATCCGGTTCCTAGGGGCTTGGTACTGGAACGGAAAGTTGCACTGCATTGGGACATCACTTCAAAGCCAGCAGGCCCCCCGGGGTCAGAAAGGCAGCTTCCGGGGGACATTTGGTGTGCCTAGGACAAAGCACGTACCCCGTGACGTAAGCAACAGCGATGCGCACCTGTAAGAAATTGGAAGCAATGAGCAGGGGGAGCACACCTTCCACGGTAATATGGTCACGGCTGGTGCGGCCATTGCAGTAGCCCAAGAGCCATTCAAAAACAGCCACATCGCAGTGGACTGAAATCTCCACAGGCCTCGTGCGGCTATCAACCGACTTTTGCAGCACGTCTTTAAAGTACCTGCGGAAAGGAAGGCGAATCCATCTTCACAAGCTAAAAACCATAACCATCTCCGCGCATCTGCTTACCGCATTCCATGGGTTAAGGTATGAATGCTGCATTTGAAGTCCCTGGTCTTCCCGGGCTCCCCAGGGTCGAAGACATGGACGACTGCCTCTGACATTACCAGGTCGTTAAGAAAGAACTTGAGCTACGCTAGCACATGAATAGCTTGGCATCAATATGCTAATCCTGACAAAAGCAGCTGCCGGGGAACTCTTAATCCACAATTTGTCGCAAAAGCAGTTTGAAATCCCCACAACACAGACCCCATAGTATCCCGTAGCTTTAGCACCAATCTTACAGAGATGTGTTTATTCATTTACGAGAAATTGGTTAGACAGCTTTTCGCGACAAGCAATGTTCTCGGCATCGGTACGGACCGCGGTACGCGTTGCTCAGCAGACGCATTTGTGGGCCGAAGGATGGGTTAAATACTCTTCAAAGACATGATGAATATTCTTTGTTCTCGAGTACTTCTCAACATCCCATGCCATTTGTGCACGGCACCCTCAGCACAGCACCTCAATCTACGTTCGCCCGCCATCTGAGGAGATGGCTAGAACTATTTCGACGTTCTCGTTCATCATGGTAATTTCCCTTCCATCAGGCCCTATGGACCTGGCTCTGCTGAGAGCACCCACAAAGTGACAAGAGCTTAACCGGCAACCAATCGAGAAATTCCCGCACATCGATTCTGGGCAGCCAACAGTAAACAGGATTCGTAAGAAAGCGAAGGCAGCTGGCCCTCAGTTTTGACGGTCATTGGAATCTCCAGTAGTCCAGGTGCGCTGGAGCGCGGCTATCGTCGGTACCATGTACATGTGTGGCCCATCACAACCGACCGCTAGCGTTCGTGACTCCAGCGCAAGAACGTCAGCCCTAGTCAAACCCATATCCCGCCTGCTGTCGGCCATGCCACTGATCCCCAACGAGGCCAGCCTCGGCACCTGATACTCCCCGCGCGCCATTGCTGCATCACGCCCCTCCCTTGCAGTTTCAGTATTGACTGACAATATAAGATTAGCGGCAGCAGCTACAGTAGCAGCAGCGGCAGCATGGGCATTCCTCTGCAACTCAGCATCATTAGTGCTACCAGAAGTGGCGGCTTCAGCTGCATGTGCCGGTACGTCCCCGCCTGGTGCAGCAGCCCGCACCGCTCCCTGCAGCGGCAGTTCCGCCATCGCATCTACCGCCAACGTGGAGGGCTCAATAGCACCAGCAGTAGCAGGAGCGGCGGAGGAAAAGCTGATCCGCAGGACTAGGGGACACAGGAAGGTGACATCCAGGGAGGCCGCCACCGCTGCCAGCCAGCGGAGCTCCATAGGGCCCATCTGCGCAGCCTCAAACGCTAGCAGGGGGACGCGGTCCGGGAAGCTGGTCCGCTCGAAGGGGGAACGCCGGCATCCTCCTATCACACGCACCTGACACCACCGAGAACCTCCCATCCTATCATGTCCATAGCCTACGATAGGGCTGATGGTGGTGCTGGTGCTGGCTGCGTTGCTGCTTATGTCGGCCCTGCAGCTTGAGGTTGATGCCACCATGTTTTCACTGTGATAGCAATCTGCTGTACCAAAGCAACAGCTGCCCTCCGACAGCAACAGTTTGACGTTCTGGGGTATTCGCTTAAGCTTTGCCTTTTTGGACTGGTTCTCAAGACATGCCAGATGAACAGCGTCGAGAAGAAAGGCGATCCGAAGCCCCGTCGCGCACACTTGACGATGGCATGTCGACGCGTGCTTTAAAGTAAACTCCTTCCAGGCACGACACACCAGCATCAAGGTTACAACATCCGAGGCTGGGTTCCGAACAAGGCCACCGCGCAAGACCGGCATGGTATACTTCTGCAGTATGCAGTCCAGTAATTTAAGCTGAACCTCTTCCGGTAACCAGCAGCAAATGCTTCGATCGACGGAAATCATCGTCCTTGTGCGCAAACGGGTCTGCATTGTTCAACTCCTCTAATTATCCGAACCTCCAAAACGTTTCATAGGGCAAACCAAACTTTGCGAACCTGGCCAAGTGCCGGCGGCGACTCATCCTTGCAGTTTGCGAAGCTCCGAAGCCGCGTTTCCCAACCGCAAGAATATTAGAGCAACCATTACCATCATTACTGCACATTAGGCGTTATCAGTTAGCAGAAATGGCACTCACAATGCAGTCGCGCAGCACGTGCGTTCGCATGGGTCAGCGCCGCGTTGGCGCTCCCATCGGCGCTCAGGTCATTGCACCAGCACGCCGGCTGAGTGTCGCGCGCGCCAAGACAGAAAGTGTGGACCTGCCTGTTGGAGAGCCAGCGCCTTACTTTGAGGTAGGCTAAAATGCGGGTTGTAGCCAATTCGGCGTTGTGAAGGGTTGCAATTGACTTGTGCCTAATGCATCCGACTTGTCCAAATGTCAATTTATGGCATCATGCGAAATACGGATGTTACTGCTTTCGCATGCCCTCACGGCCGATACAGCGTGCAAGCATATTGTGGAGCAAGGCCCGACCTTTCCGCCAGAGGGCAAATCTTCCAACCTCGCACGCAAAAAATTTCAAATGAGTAGCACAGAAGGATCGGCTGCTGTGCATTTTCCCTTTATCTGCTTCCTTGCTGGGGTTTGGGAGTTCGCGTGCCTGAGACGCAGCGAATTTGGAAAGGAAAGCAGGAAAAGCTCGCGGGGCAGTGGCACCTCTTAGCACTGCCCCAAACACTCCCTGCCAAATCAACTCGTCCCACCGGTACCGAACTTCCCCTTTATCAATAGCGTTTGTGCAACGCTCAGGTTTCGTCCTGCACACTTCAACTTGTGAAATCAACATGCCAGCTTTACCTTTTTTGACCTGCTTTGACCAGCGCGTCCTGCCCCTAAAGCCCGTCCCCCCTCTTTTCCATGCAACCAACCAACTGACCACCTGGCTACAACAGCTGCCCGATGCGGTGACCGGGAAGACCGTCAGCCTGAACGAGTTCAAAGGCGCACCCGCCACCCTGGTTATGTTCATTTGCAACCACTGGTATGCCGTACACTATATGCCGTACATTGTCGTACATTTTCTTAAAGCCTTAGAGAATCCGTTTCCCTGTGTATGATGCAAGCACATTTCCGTGATACGCGTCTGCAGTACACATGCATGCATGCTGTTGTTACAGGGTGGTATAGCTTCACCAGCGGCCCCCTTTCCCGAGGCAGTTCCCTGCTCTCCCCTGCGAGAGGGGCACCCTAATCCATTCACCCCATCCGATTTCAAAATGTATTCGTTGGGTTCAGCAACTCACCACCAGCATCCAACCAAATCTGGCGGATCAACGGCGCCACAACTTAGTTCCTGGTCAGCTCGCAAATTGAAATAATCACATCCTACACCGTACATAAGATGGGGGGCCACCTCCCAATTCAACACCCCTCACACACCGAGGGGTTGGCAGGCGGATTTGAGCCCGGATCCTCCGGGAGCAGAAGTCAGGCCTTAACTTCTGCCAGCCACCTGCCATTTATTTATGTATGCATGTATGTATGTATGTATGTATGTGAAGATTTCCTTGTTTGCGTGCATTTCTGGTTCTGGTGCTGCTCCTCGAAGTCTGGGGATCTTTCCCGAACCCGTGTATGTGCTCGGCTGTCCGCGGCCTTCCCCCTCTCAGCCCTTCTGTATCCCCCCTCTCCTCCCTTTTGTTCAGCCCTTCTGTATCCCCCCTCTCCTCCCTTTTGTTCAGCCCTTCTGTATCCCCCCTCTCCTCCCTTTTGTTCAGCCCTTCTGTATCCCCCCTCTCCTCCCTTTTGTTCAGCCCTTCTGTATCCCCCCTCTCCTCCCTTTTGTTCAGCCCTTCTGTATCCCCCCTCTCCTCCCTTTTGTTCAGCCCTTCTGTATCCCCCCTCTCCTCCCTTTTGTTCAGCCCTTCTGTATCCCCCCTCTCCTCCCTTTTGTTCAGCCCTTCCGTATCCCCGATCCTCCATCCCAACCCCACGGCTAGTCCCTACGTGGTACATCTGAAGAGCGCCATCGTGGATGTGGTGAAGGAGTACTCCAGCAAGGGGCTGAAGGCGGTGGCCATCAGCAGTAACTCCACTCAGACCCACCCGCAGGACGGGCCGGAGAAGATGGCGGAAGACGCCAAGGTGCGTCCGGGGTGATGGCTACAGGCGCTGCCTGGTGGCATACAGCCGGGGTTATTGGGGAGGTCTGGCCGGCAGGTAGGTAGGTTATTGGGACCAAAGTACCTGACAATGACCACGTTCTGGAGGTGGAGATATTCTTCAGCCGGTGCCAACTTCATTACATTTCCCGCCCCGCATTCTCTACTGCGTGCGGACGATCAGAGCTTGTGGATCTCTACAAGAAGCCAAAGCGATTTTTTTTCTAAAGTGCTCCTGTGGACAGTTGCTGACTGCCGGTGTATGGCCCCGGACTGCCGTCCTTGGTTAGTTTTTTGTACACATATGTATGTTTGTTGTTACAGGGTGGTATAGCTTCACCAGCGGCCCCCTTTCCCTTGGAGGCAGTTCCCTGCTCTCCCCTGCGAGAGGGGCACCCTAATCCATTCATATATGTATATTTGTGTGCTACACGTTTTTCAGTATATGATGTAGCGCTATACTCTTTAACAACTTCATTTGTACCTGTTAGCATCAACGGATTTTTTTTATCGGTTTCTGAAATAGCATCATGAGTTTTTGACACCCCCTGTTAACACTGGTTGCTTGCCATGCCGTACGTACGGCCGTTGCACTGTCCCTTCCCTTTTTGCAGAAGTACGGCTACCCATTTCCGTACCTGTTTGACGAATCGCAAGACGTCGCCAAGGTATGCGCCTGCATCTGGGTGCGCATTTGGACTAGCTAACCCACGTACAGCAAGGGCAAGAAACACCCTGAAAAAATAATGCGCTATTTCAGATGATACTCTGGTTGCTATGCACTGTGTGCTGTGTGCTATGCGCCTGACCTCAACGCATGTTCGCTCAATCGATCGCCCTCACGGGGTTGCCTCCCTTCTCCTTTTCGCAGGCCTACAAGGCCGCATGCACCCCCGAGTTTTACATCTTTGACTCGGAACTCAAGCTCACCTACCACGGCCAGGTGAGTCAACGAGAGAGAGAGACTGTGTGTGCGCACGCATGTATGTGTGTGTACTATGTGCTGCAACGAGAAAGAGAGAGAGAGCTTCCCTAAGAAATCCTTCCTTGTCTACCGCCCGTTAACCCTGCCCCATGCTACCCTGCCCCGTACGACCCTGCCCTTCCCTCAATCGCAGTGGGACTCTACGCGGCCTAAACAGGACCCTCCCCAGATCCCCACCAGTGAGTCCTCCTCCCCGGCTGGGGCCCTCCCGGTCAGGGGTGTCCGGCTGCGGCTGCAGATAGGAGGCAACACGGCTGGAAAGGCAGTAGGGGTTTCGGGCTATTCGTTGCGGGTTTTTTCGTAAGACACAGCATTAGGGGCCCTCGTCATCGCACCATCCTTTTAGGTGGCGGGCGGTTCCCTTTTTTCATATATAGTGAAGGAACCCCCACCGGGTCATGTTAGGCCTCGTCTATCTTTTCCCCTATACGGAGCGGGTAGCTACCCGCTCCCCCAATCTGCCGTATTCCCCAGACCCTGTAAAGCATGTATGGCATGAAGAGCGAACCCATCAGAACATATCAGGTTTTTGGGCGGGATCTCCTAGGCAGCGAAGTGCAATTATTAAATATGAAACGAAACCCTAGAACCCGTTCCGCTCTTCCCTTCACTCTGTTCGACCACGAATACATATACCGTTGCCTTCTCTTCCTTTATTTGCTCGTATTGGCGCCGTTCCCATGTCTCCCTTGTTTATTCCCCCTCCCTCCCGCCCTGCCTTCCTCCCTCCCTCCCGCCCTGCCTTCCTCCCTCCCGCCCTGCCTTCCTCCCTCCCGCCCTGCCTTCCTCCCTCCCGCCCTGCCTTCCTCCCTCCCGCCCTGCCTTCCTCCCTCCCGCCCTGCCTTCCTCCCTGTCGCCTAGGTGTGGACATCCGAGCGGCTCTGGATGCAACACTGGCCGGAAAGCCGGCACCCAAGTCGCGACCGAGCATCGGTTGCAATATTAAGGTAGGCGGCGGTAAGAGGTGGTGGGCGAGCGGTAGGGAAGTGGTGGGCAGAGCGAGGAGGAGGGAGGGAGGAGCGGTTCTCATCCATGGTGAGCACAGACATGACATGTACGCCCGTAGGAATGTGTAAGGCACTTGCCAGTGATACCTGAATAAGAAGAGCAAGTCAGGCGTGGTGGGGGCCTGAGTGGGTTGGAGCCGAAAGGGATTATAAAGGGTGAGTGTCAAGGAGGGATGATGGAGAGGAGAGTGGATAGGGGGAAAGTGAAGAAGCTGGCGGAGAGGGTGGTGTTGGGTTAAGAGGGGCACTGGGCATTACGCGGGGGTTTGTGGGGGATGGAGGAAGAGGGCGGCCACTCATGTGTGGGGGGAAGGGAACAGAGGGGGAAGAGAGAGGGAAGAGGGGGGAAGAGGGGGAAAATGCAGAGTTTACAGGGTCATCCGAACCGGCTGCGTTCTCCTGAACAGCAAACACAACAGTGGACAAGCCCACAAGTACTAGACAAGGTGTTACTGCAAACGCTGTTGGTGATGCTGGTGTTGGTCCTCCAAATGCCTCTGCTCTGGCTGCAGTTGATTTCTGGATCGAGCTGCCCCTGCTGCCGCCCCTGCTGCTACATCCCCTTTTTCTCTCCATGTGCCCGGCACCCGTCCGCTTACTGTTCCTTCTCCTCCGCCCGCGACTCACTCTTCATTTCGCTCATGCTGCTGGCGTTATACAATGCCATATCCGCAATCCTTCACTCCCCCTACCTTCCCCACAATCTCATCGCCTCGTAGTGGACCCCTGGCAAGGAGCCCGAGTACTATGGTGCCCAGATCGTCAAGAAGTAGAGAACCGCCAATCCCAGACCCCCTCCCTCTATGGGTTTTGTCAGTTACACAGCTGAGCTGAGCTGAGCTCCATAAGGCCTGTGTGCCTTACGGAGTGCAACATCAAGAGGGTATCGAGTGTCGTCCTGTTCATTGATGTCGTACGGCTGTATGGCGCTGTGAAAAAGAAGTTAGCGTTCAAGCACTTGCCGAGCTCCTGAGAATTGCCTACGAGGCGCGGCGAGAGGCTACATGCAGAGGCTGTAGAGATGCATGCACAGGCCGCATTCCCGTCGGAGCAGCTAATGTGCTCAATCATGCAGTGTTTGGTGTGCCTCAAATTTCATGAACTGACCTGGATACACTTCTGAGTCTCAGCTACCCAAGGAAGGTAACACGCTGTCCTGGTCAACTTGTCCTGTGCCTTAGATCGTGTCCAACTCCCTGTGTGTGTATATGTTGTGCTGTTGGGCTTACAAAGGCATAATTGCCAGAGGTGAGTTTGAGCTGATGAAAGGTTTCTTGTCCATATGGAGCCAGGAAAGCAAAGGGCTTCACGTGCCGTGCTTTCGCGACCCTATTGATTTAAAATTTCGCACACAAGAAGGACACCACCCAAGAGGAGGAGGCGAGGTGACCAGTCAGATCAGGTCAGGAGCACAAGTCAAAAAAAAGTTCGAGCCCTCTGTAGGAGTCGCTCACCTGGTGGAACGACTGGCGTTGTGGAAGCGTAGGATCCATAGTCCTCCTTGCTGAGGCAGGCCGGATTCCAATCCAGCGACAAGCACTAGCGTACATGGAATAACTGAGATGGCGGCAGCGGAGTCTTGAACTCCGAAAACCTAGAAGTCGTGATACTTCAGTGTTTTGCCAGAGCACCCCTCGGCCTACCTACCGGAGATTCACTACTACGATCCTGCCGTACTAGGATACCGTCAGCGGGGCCCGGGGCCCCAGCCCGTTAGGTCCGCTACGACCAACTGCCATCTTCATGACATGTTACATTAGTACGTAACATGTGCAAAAATTTAGTCGAATCGGTAACAAAATTGCAGTTATTGCTAACAGTAATCGTTGAAATATTCTAAGAGAATGTACCTTACTACACCAGTGTTTTTTTTTTCATTTTTGCCCGACAATTTTCCAGTCCGAACGGAGGAATAGGTTTTTAATCGCGGGAATTAAGGTATTCCGAATCTGTCAGGCGCTG